TAAACAAGATTTTTAAGGGCACTAAATATATATATATTCTGCCAATCAGAAAAGTATCCCGACTCAGTGGTTGGCAAACTCGACAACTTGGTCACCCGCTCTTAGTTCAAATACTAACCTCTCTTAAATCGCAAAATTATCTCAAACAGCACGCAAGACTTAGAATGCTGACTGTTGCAAAGTCAAAACAGTTTGCTCTCCTCCATAACCTAAAAAGTATAATTTCATGCAAAAAAAAAATGTTAAGCCAAATGCATTCGATGGTAAATATTTACCTGATCTAATTTTAATAATTCATCCGGGGTGGAAGACAATTGTCCCAAAATTAAAGAGGGCTTTAAACCAGCTTCTTCACCAAGAGCTTTAACGACAGCTTCGCGATCATAACGGTCCGCGCAAATGCATGAAGCTGGAACTAAGCCATGAAGGCAGTAACTGACAGTTCGCAACATCACCCTAAAATAAAGGAAAGATATATTAAAAAATAATTATTTAAAGGTTAATAATGAATGATTGAGTTTAAAGTTATATATGTGCTAATTGCATGTCATGAATATTTCCAATATTTTTAACTATAAATATTAAACTGTGTAAATCACTTCAATTTACTGATAACTTTTCAAAGAAATACAAACCTTCAATTAAAGCCCTAAAAACTTTTACTTAGAGACATAGGGCGAAAATCGAGGAATTTATCTCTATTTTCTTCATCAACAAATTCAAACTACTTTAGATGGTTACATAAACTTTTTTTCTTCAATGGCAAAACTTGCCCCTGTCCATTTAAATTTTCTTAGGGAACATATTTCAACTAATGTTCATCTATTTTCTTTTATACTTAACGCTCAAGGGTAAAAAGAAACTACTAGTAGTAATAAGAATTTTAAAATGTCGTTGATGAAATTTTTTAAAAACATTTCAAGTAAATTAAATCATTATTATACAAAAATAGCAAGAAAGTTTTACATAATAGTTTAAGCTGTTAAAAATGCAAACAAATAACTTATCTATAATGTAAATACAAAGATCATGACTAAGCTTAAACAAATGTATAGAATGTGTATAAAACGAAGACTACAATAAATGTGTTTACATAGCAAAAATGCTAAAAAAAAAATGATTCCATCTTTCAAATCATAAAGCGCCTTCATAATAATAGTTGCATTTCATCTGAATAAAAAAAGCAATAAAAATCTTGGAAAAATGTCGAAACGTTTTAATTTTGATCAATATGAAAGGTCCATTTTATTCCACATTTATCATAAAATAAAAAGACTTTAACTGTTGCCTTTGAGATGCTTGATTAAGTTGTGTCATGACTATTACAGAGTATCATTATGCACATAGAGAGATCTGAGTGAACGAGTACAGTAAGCCTTCTGCATAAAGAGTACAGTACACATAATGCACACAGTACGCATAACACGTACTTAAAGTTTAAACTTAAAGTACAACTTACAATTTCAGCTGCCTATAAATATTCCTCTACTCTAAGAAAAAAGGTTTGTAACAATAATTTTTTAAGTCGGAATTTAAATTATATTTCATTGTCTGATTGTCATTGTAATGAAGAAGAATTTTCTCAATATATTGATAAAGATTGTGGTCACGTTATTACAGGGAATTTAGAGATTGGAGATCAAGATTTAATTAGTATTTTGAGTAGAGGTTCAAAATTTTAGAACAGGGTTTAAAATGAAAAATGATGATTTTATTTTATCGGCTAAAAGAGATCTTGATTTTTTTTACAGCTAAAATTTCTAGGAAATATCATTGGCCCGTTGATGGTTTTACAGAATGGAAAACAAAAATAGTGGAAGAAGTTAAATACAATTTATTCAATTCCAGGTTTTGTACTTATCCTAGTGGTATCATTATTGATTATGATTTGTTTCAAAAGATTAAAATACATAAAAATAAGTTTATCATTACTGTTGTTGATAAAGCATCTAATAACTTTTGTATTATGTAACCCCCTTGAAGACGTCAGTTTCGGTTGTCACATTTATAAATTTTTTGATTTTTCATTGCTTCTTTTGTTTCAATTCCTTTTGGATTCTCAGCTTCTTACCTCGTTTTTCCACTGGAAGTATTATTATTAATTGCTTTAATTATTTTGAATTCTTTTCATAATACGTACTGTACGCATAATATGTATACGCGTAAAGAGTACATGGCACATAAGAAAGAGTACAGCACACATAATAGAAATTGCATTTGATATGAATAATAAAAACACAGAGAGGATCAATGTGAAAGAGTACAGTACGCATTCTGCATAAAGAATATCGTACGCATAATAACAACTGCATTTGATATGAATAATAAAAACGATAAAAATCTTTGAAAATGTCGAAACATTTTAATCTTGATTAATACGGAAGGGCTATTTATTTCAATACGCATTTATTATAAAATAAAAAGAGTTTAAATATTGCTCTTCGGAATACTTGATAAAGTTAAATTACGATAGTTAGATGATAGGCGATACGGGCGGAAAAGTGTATACGCCTTCTGAGATTACGGTTAGTTTTGCAATAGCAGTAATGGATTATCTACATAAATAAGCAAGCTGATTGTTACGTGCGTTAAATATAAAACATAGCTGTCTCATTTTGTTAATGCTTGAATTTTCATAGTTTTTCCTCTAAATTTCTATAGAATAGTAAAAGTTTAAAATATTTTAAACCTAGAAATCTTGAAGAGTTGAACTTATAAGTTATTTAAACTTTTAAGTTATAAAAAACTTATAAGCTAAAATCCTTGACTAATGGTGTAATACTGCTTGTTTTCATGTAGAGGTCATGTTTAAATCTTGCACAATAGGCAGCACAATTACTTCAACCGAAATGAGAGAATTTGCATGTCTGCCACTTAGGAGTCCCTACTTCTGCTACTTAGGATAAAGATCAAATTTTCACTTAAGGGAAAGGAGCTAAGAAGGACACAAGGCAAATATGGACAGCTTTATTAATTCTGTTACTTGCCTCTTAAAAAGTTTCAGTTAATTTTGGCTCTTTAATATAGCTAATGTTACACTTTCATGTACAGCGACAAAATACTTGATTGTTAAATATCATTTTAAATAAGTGTTTATTGTTTAGTTTGCTTTTATATTTGCGACCTTCGACTAATTTTGTTAATCATTTTAAATAATAAGAGATTTGGTGTTATATATTTAGATTTCAATTTAGATTTTTTTAAAGTAAATAACAATGACTTTAAATGAAAAAGTGGCCCCATGGGACTAGTGTAGATAAATATTGATGGGCTACTGTATACATGTTAATATTAAACTTTTTGTGATAAGAATGTGAATAAAGTACTAAAACATCACTTGGAGAGTATTGATTTGTTAGATTAGATTAGCTTTGTAAAATATTTACCTTTTTTATTGATTAAATTTTATTTTTCTTGTAGACTGATAAATTTAGGAGAACCTAATGTAACTTCCATTTCGTAGAACAAAAAATTTTAATTATCCAGGAAATTTTCATACTTTTACAGCAGTTGCAAAATGTTTACTTTCAAAATTCCATTATTCAAAATTTCTGTAGTTTTGCGATCCATAAATAATAGGGCAAGATTGAGGAACTAATTTTTTATAAACAAGATTTTTAAGGGCACTAAGTACAAATTATTGACTTAACTTTGTGACATTTTTACGTTCTTATCAACAGAGAACAGTTTTGTGAATCGATTGATGTATAGTAAGGTGGGTTTTTGAATTTATGGAATGTTATAAACATTATAAAATTTGATAAGTTTCAACATTTGATTAAGTTTCTGATTTGCAATTTTCCATTTTATTTGCTGTTTTCTTGAAGTTCAATTTCCTACTTTTTTGGTACACTATTTTCAAAATACTTAATGAAGGGAAAGATAATTTTTGTAGTGATTTAATTCGCATGATAAATCAACAATTTGACCTATATTGTAATTGATTTTTATAAAAAAAACTAGTTTTAATCAATAAAACATATTAGAAAAATCTTAACAGGTTTGGCATTAGCTTGTAAACCACCAGATTTAAAAAGATTTTTAATTTTTGTTGTCTAATATTTAGGTATAATTTAAAGAAAAAATTATTAACTTCCAAATGTATCTAAACTGAGAAATGAAACTTAGATGTTTGTAACAAAGTTTACGAATATATGAAAAACCTTCATGAAAATAACTGTTCAATTATGACATAGTTTTAAGTTTTTTAATGAAAAAATATATAGTCTATATTTAAGTTTTTTTTGAATGCTCTTGGTGGAACGAGGCTTTTTTTATACTTTTAAAGTCGAGATGTTAGTACCCTTAAGAAAATATTCACCCAAATTAGTATACATAAAGTTAAATGTAGATTAAAGACCTAAATTTAATTATTTTAAAAAAAATCATAGATTAGTTCAAAAATGATAATATTGATTTGTTCCGCAAATTTATAAAGATTGTCTTCACCAGCCCCCTTTCCCCTCCTAAGATGAAATCGTCATTAACTGAAGCGTAATCTATTGCGGATCGTGACATTTCGGTTCCGCCATTTCTGCCCCATTGCCATTTCGGTTCCGCCATTTCTGTCCAATTGCCATTTCGGTTCCGTTGCCATTTTGATAATTTCCTGATTCAGTCGCGTTACTAATTCGATTCGTGCATTTTGATATAGACATTTCATCCGATTTCCTTTTTTTTAATATTACAATGGTCCATTCCATCATTTGGCCCACCAATGGTCCATCATTTTAAAAAACTATATATATATATANCCCACGGATTTGCCCGAAATGGATTTGTTCATGGAAAAATTATATAAATTAACAAATATATATATATATATATATAGCTTTTAAAATGATTTACTTATTATTTCCAGTGACAGAAAATCAGGAAAATTAAATGGTTATTAAGTATTTAAAAATTATTAAATGTGAAATTAAACGTTCAAACTATTAAGAATATTTAAGAGGGATAGCCCACAATTTTCTAATTAATTAGCGAAAAACTTTGTTAAGTTTCAATGAAAACTATATTTTTTTTGTATTCGATTATTTATGTAATTATGTTTACTCTTATGCCGATCAGGTGACCGAGTGGTTAGGATGCCTCATTGCGGAGCCGATGGTTGCGGGTTCGAATCCAGCTCAGGGTATGGATGTTTCTTTCTCTCTGTGTTTTATGTCCTTTCTCCTTTGTGTGTGATTGTGTGAATGTGACCCGCCCTATAAACGGGTTTGTGGTTGTGTGACGTGGGTGCAATGCTCCACCGCCGTGGCTTCGCCACAGGTGCCCACTGGGTAACGAGAAGAAAGTAGCTGTTCCGGCATTAGAGACCAATGGGACAGTACATCCCAAGTGCCCGCCATTAACAAAAAAAAAAAATTTAACTCTAATGCAATAATGTATTGTGATTGTAAAGTTTGGCAATTAAATAAATAAGGATTTCGGCGCTAACTACCTCCACTTAGTGC